GGAGACATATGTAATACTTTAAACAATAAAGAATTTTTTAAAACGGAGTTGTTGTTTTTTTAAATGCTCAAGCAAGACTTAATATGGACTGCAATGGGAAGCAAAGAGACTCTACGATGACACTTAGGCATCTAGTTTCAGTGACTGAGTGAACAATAATACAAACATTGAGACTAAGAATATGAATATTAAGGTAAGCTGAGGGAGCAAATAATGTGGTTTCTTTTTAAAAACTGATGTGGAGACAGTAATGGGACATCAAGGTAAAATGTCCAATGAGTACTTGACCATACCAAAGCAAGACTTAGTAGAGAGGTCTAGCATAAGAATACTGCTGAAACAACTAAAGTGGGTAAAATCAAGCACATTGGAAGATAGCAACAAAATATAAAACAAAGAGTATCTAAAATACATGCAGAATTCTTTCAAAGAGTAAGAAAGTGATCAAAGCAATGCAACAGCAAAATAAGCAAAGGATATAAACACAGTTTAAGGAAAGGACATCTAAATGGTTAAATAAGCATTTTAAAGGAAGGAAGGAAGGAAAGAAGGAAGGAAGGAAGGAAGGAAGGAAGGAAGGAAGGGAGGGACGGACGAGGAAGGAATGAATCTGTGGAAGGGAGGAATAGAGGGAAGAAATTAACATTTATATAAACAGCTGCAATCGGCCTCCCTGTGGTTCCTTGAACATGCCAAGCATATTCCCACCTCAGGGCCCTTGCATCTGCTGTCCCCTTTGCCTGGTAGTCCCTTCCCGCCTAAATTCCCATGACTAACTCCTCCTTTCATTCATTCAAATCTTGGCTCAAATGGCAACTTCTAAATGAGGCCTCTTTGATCACCCTATTTCAGATTGCAAAAACTCCTCCACCCCAAACTCTATACACTCTTTACTTGGAACTCTGTTTTGTTCTTCTCTGTGGCACTTATTATGACTTAAAGCACTAAATATCTTATTTATTAGAATGTTATCTCTCCTGACTAGACAATTATTTCCATAAGAGCAGGGACTTCCTTCAATATTATATTCCTAATGCTCAGAATAATGTCTAGCACATAGTAAAAACTCAGTATTTGTTGAAAGAATATCTACATAAGATAGAATTTTGTCAAAAATATCTTATGTTCAACATTTATCTTAAAGTACATTGCTTTAAACATGCAAAACTGCCAACTATTCATGCAGAGGAAAGACCACCTCTTATTTTAAGATCATACAATTTCTAATTTTTAGGTGTTAAAATAGTCTTCCTTTTTGAAAATGATAGCTCTATTAATTATTTTTCCTTAATAGCCTTATTTGCCAACATGGGAAATGTTCAAATCTGTCAATGTCTAATTCTTTTGGAAAGTTTGCTGATATATTAAATCTAAAATTCTGGGAACTACTGACATACAGGATTAAAATAATTCATCAGAACATCATTCAACCATCTAGCCCAACAGACCCATGGAAATCAACTTCATCCTTCAAAAATCTTCTTCTCTAGTCAAGACAGTCTCCTTACCATCTTCATGACTTTGATTCCCTGTGGATGCTTCTTCTGAGCTTTCCCCTTACTTCATCCCTTCTTTAAAACCTTCCCATCCAAAGATTTCCACTGCTTTAAGTATATTATCTAAAATTCTTTACCACTCCAGCCTACATTCATTCATCTCTCATCTGAGCACCTCTAGCCCTCTAGGTAGAGCTCATGTTAAACAGTAGTTTGGCCCAAGCCAACTATGTAATAATCACTTCAGGGAGATTTTTTAAAAAGACAATTTTCAGGGTCTCAGTGAAGATTGAGAGAATAGAATTTCAAGATTGGGGCACAGGATTCAATATATTTCAAAAGTCCTCCCAAATGATTCTGATCCATAGCCTGGTCTAGGAACAATTAATCTATAATATAACATCTTAAATTAATCATAAAATACTTTGGTTATATTTAAATAAACATTATCTATGTGTGCTTTCCAGATCTTCTTAGGGAAGGAAGTCTTATAAAATTAAAGTAATTTTAATCATAATAATCATAACAGTTGCAGGTTTAACTTAAAACTTCAAATTAAACATCAAATGTGTATGTCCTATGTTGAATTATACATATGAAGGCCTTAATTTTGAAACAAATAACTTAAAATCCAATAGTAATTTCTGACATAGGCATGCAGAGCCATTTGTGAAAAAAGTATATTGATATTATCATAGGAGGTCATCTATTGCAAAGAAATTAATGTAATGAAGTTTATTCAAATAGCAGCAACCAAAATTCACTGTTAAAAAAAAAAGTGAACCTAAATATAGCCTACTAACCTGTTTGTTGTTCTCTGCCATGGAAAGCTGCAATGCCAAGATCATGGAGTCTGCGCCACATACAGTAGTTCTCTCAGAGTCACAAAGATTGTGCCAATTCCTCCTGAACTCTTTAATCATTTCCAAGACAGACTTCTGATGAAGCACAGCCATCCTCCTAAAATAGGACAGAATGCAATATTAAAAAGCTTTATTTTCATTGGAAATTAATATCGAACATGTATAAGGCAAGCAAGAGTTAGAGAAAAATAAGTAATGAACAAGAGGTCACCTCATGTTTACAAAGATTGCTTTTCATGAAATTTAGGAGAACAGAATAAAAACAATTTCTCCCCAATCATATTTTCCTCTCCTTTAGCTTTCTTAAGCCAAATCATTTGAAATAACAAAATGCAACCTTCGATCTGAAAATTCATACAAAATAGATACACCAATTCTGCAAACTTATAATTACAGACACATAGCTAATTAAAACTGTGTTTAAAAATTTTTGTTTTACGAGAGATGGTAATATCTGTGGTAGATTGGGGAGGGAGGCAGCCAATTTCTTCCCATCATTATATTATCCCAAAAGAGATGGTCTATTTTTCCATCCCTTTGAATCTCGGTTGGCCTTGTGACTTGATTTAACCAATAAGATGTAGCAAGAATGGCACTGTGGGAGTTCCAAGCCTAGACCTCGAAAGGCCAGTGCAGAAAAAGAGTTAATACAGCAGGCCTGATTACTATCCTTTGAAAGTCCTGCTTACAAGGCTGGCCCTTGACTGACATCTGGGAACTTAGATTTCAAGAGGGTTTCTAGTAAGAGTGGCTTACTGTGCTTAAACTGTTTGTACAACAATATAGTTATGTTGAACACATAGGTTCCTTCCGAGTTTGGATTTTGGAACAAAATCTCAGATGTTTACTATGTATTTTGGGTTTCTATGATCAAGAAAATGGGCATATGCCATTTACAAAATAATAACTTAAAGACACAATCAGTGACGCAACTTAAATGTACAGGTATAAGACTGAAAATATCTACTTAAATACAGATCCTAGAAAATAGCTAAGAATTTTATTTCTCTTAAAAATATCACCCTTGCCGAAACCGGTTTGGCTCAGTGGATAGAGCATCGGCCTGCGGACTGAAAGGTCCCAGGTTCGATTCCGGTCAAGGGCATGTGCCTTGGTTGCGGGCACATCCCTGGTGGGAGGTGTCTTATAAGAAAAAAAAGAAAGTGAAGAAGTAATGCTTCTGTAATGATCAGTTTGCCTGAAAGAAATCTTTAGTAGTAAATGACTTACTAGTGTTATTTAAAGGCCAGTGCAGAAAAAGAGTTCAGATTGCTAGAATGAAGATGAATCTAGAATTACACTGTTCTGAATCCTGGCTTCACCACTTGCTAGCTGTGAGATCTTTGCCAAGTTATGTCACCTCTCCCAGCCTCAGCTTCGTTGCACTGAAAAATGAAAATAATAACAGTTACTATCTCATAGAGTTTTGTAAAAAGTAAATGATAAATATAAGTGATACTGAGTTCAGATTGCTAGAATGAAGATGAATCTAGAATTACACTGTTCTGAATCCTGGCTTCACCACTTGCTAGCTGTGAGATCTTTGCCAAGTTATGTCACCTCTCCCAGCCTCAGCTTCGTTGCACTGAAAAATGAAAATAATAACAGTTACTATCTCATAGAGTTTTGTAAAAAGTAAATGATAAATATAAGTGAAACTTTTAGATCAGTGCCTGGCACATATAAGAGCCAACAATCTTATCTAGGGGTCAGCACACTTTTTGGAAAGGGCCAAATAGCATATATTTGAGGAGTGCAAGCCATACAGTCTCTGTCACAACTACTCAACCTGACCTTGCCATGAGAAAATAGCCACCAACAACCCATGAACAAATGAGCTTCATCAAAACTTAATAAAAACTGAAATTTGAATTTAATTTAATTTTCACACATCCCAAAATATCATTCTTCTAATGATCCACTTA